TAACGTTTAATACAACAGTCATTGTACAGGTTGATGGTGATGGAGCTCAGAACCAAAGAAAATGTCAACTCTGAATGGAGCTCAGAACCAAAGAAAATGTCATCTCTAACTGTCAGTTTGCACATAAAATTGCACAAATAGATAATGGTAAAAATGTACTTTTTTTGTTTTGTCTTTTTACTGATCCAGTTGTAAACTGAAAATAATTTAAATTGAAAAACTCAAAACTGCGTGGGTTGTCAAATAATATTGTTCCTTAAAACCCACCTACTCTAAACCCACCACTAGCATTTATACTTGTTATACAACTAGAAATTCTTTCTGTTTTATTCCAAGTGAGAGAGAGCTAAATTGCCGTCATGGGTTATGATTTTTCCGTGCAAATGAACGCCTCGCAGACTACATAAAGCAGATGAATAGATGTTCCTTGGCACACAGTGGGACACGAGCTGCTGCGTGAGGATTCACACCGATGACGGCATGATGATACATTCATGCTGGGGAAACAAAAAAACCTATATTTGACTAGTAATGAAAAACAGAATTCCAATTCACCGCAGTGGTGAAGCAGTTTCATTACAGTATTTGTCTGAAGTTTTTGTTTCGAACCGTGTTCAGCACAGACTGGACCCTGCAGTTGTTCAGCACCAACAGCTTTGGTGCAAGTGTTATCAAATCTTCAGAAAGGTTTGCGATGGCCTCACGTTTTTTGTCAACGTGTAAATCATTGGTGCCGTACAGCCTACGGTGTGACAGCTACATCAGTGCTGGAATAAAAAGTGATAGCACGGAATATTTCCAGGTTGACATCACCACTGAGTGATGGTGTTAAACATGTAACTCACATGGTAGAAAAGGAGGTTTGCTCAGTTGTGTTGTTAGTGAATCCACATCAACATGTGTTGAAAGGTAATGACATGAAAAGTTGATTCATGTGCAGGTGAAAATTACTATTATTAATAGATCTATCTATCTATCTATCTATCTATCTATCTATCTATCTATCTATCTATCTATCTATGTGCAGGTGAAAATTATCATTATTAAGATTTAGGAAGGCCAACTGATGGCCATTCAATGTTAGTACTAGTGCAACAAAGATAAAGAATTTCCGTGTTTGTCTAAATTCAATAGTTTGGAGGAATCTGCTCTTCAGTGTCATGTCTGTTTATAAAACGTGTGTGTCTATTGTCTGTGAACGGTTTGTGTGGTGATATTAAACTCGCCGAGGTCGTACAGGCTGAGGTTATTTTTTTTTTCCAAACTCTGAATCCCTGTAACATAAAAATAACAAAGGTAAGCCGTTCTGCCTGACTTTGTTTGTCCTTGGTGACACAATGAGACGCAAGTAAAAAAGTGAAGAAACTGGCAGGCAACTTTATCCATTTTCTTCATTCTCCCATTTCCTACCCGCCATCAATCCATCCTTTTCTTTTTACTTCCCTCTCTCCTTCCTCGTCTCTGTTTTTCATTTACTGCACCTTTGCCTTATTCCTTTTCTTTCATCTTTCTCTCATTTACTTTTTTATTCTTTTCCTCTTTATATTTCCTTCATATTTTCCCTGTTGCCTCATTTCTCATGTTGTCTTTTTTCCTTCTATCCCATGTCACTTTCCCATCTCTATAAACATATCTATTATGTTCTAACTTACATTTGAAGGTTTTCTTACAAAGATCCTTATGAAATGAATCATTTAAACGTATTAATAACTAAAAATGTGTCAAGTTACATAAAATGAGCAGGCACTGCATGTGACTGACAGAGAAAACCAAGACCCTGTTGGTGCTATAAGAACGCCCCTATGCAACTCTAGCCTGCCATTATAAAGCTCCATCCATTTCTTATACTGTGTACACAGTCTATATTTATGCTATGGCCATACAATATATGTAACGCCAGCCGTGCAATCAGTTTCTGTTTCATGGTTCAACATGCATTTTAATGAGACCACCCTGACATTAGCATCAAATGCATACACTCTCAGACAACTTGAGTACAAACTAAATAAAGGTCTGTCTTGTTCTGTGTCCTCATACTCCGGTACTTCTAAAGTGCACGTGTTACTTGCAACCCTACAGCGGTTTGTTGGTTAAGGGGCAGCACTGGGGCCATCTGACTGAGAGCTGAGGTGGTTTAGCTGAAGGCAATGCCATAGGCGTATCCATATTCCCATTCAGCCCTGCTGTTGATTGCTGAAACTTGACTCTGATCTAATGTACCACACGGAGGCAGAGGGACCGCACAACCAGATACATGACATGGTGGGATGCCTCGGCCATATTTATCAAGTGTAACACAGACTTTGGAAAAAAAAGAAAGAAAGACTGCACTGTTGAGATCACACAGGAGAATAATGACTTATTCTATTAGTCTAACTCCAAACCAACTTTTAAAAAAACTTACAGACATGTTAGCCCCAGGGGAATCAGTAGAAAACCGAATTTGAGACAGAGGACTTACACAGTATGTCCTGATGCAACTCAGACCTCATTAACAGCTGCATATAAACATGAAGTAAACTTTTGCCAACCAGACACAATACGGTGAGGATACTACACAACTGCCTCCAGAAGCTTTTCAGCAGAAGCTCCGTAGCATTAGCATAACTAGTTTGCTATTAGACTCTACAGTGTCAATATCTGCCCACAAGTATCAGTCCCCCTTAAAGTATACTTGATAGCATCTTGGTATTGAAACAATTAGAATATAGAGCTATGATTACTTTTGCTCATGTTATGTAAATTCATTTCACCTTAAAGTATGATGAAAAAGTATTAGCCAAAGTATCAACACACCACAAGAAAAGGAGAAAAAAAATATTTTATTTTTTTTTAATTTTATCAAAGGAAAGAACCATTACTTTCAAAGTGTGGAACATTTAATAAATTGTTTGTCTGCGTGATCGCAGGGAAACTGTTTTCCGACAAACTCCATGATGCATGGTCACCATGGTTTTTAATAAAAACTGATTTCCTCAGACGCAGCTCACGGAGATCTTAAATAAAAAACAGCCCCAACTGAAATTGTTTTTCCAGACAGTATCAAACTATCACCGTGTGGCCTTCCTCTCTAATCAGCACTTATTATTACCAGCATTTACCAGAATACAAACTCTCTGTGAAAAGGATATGAAAGGAGAAAATTGTTTTTGTTTTTTTAATGTAGTGCTTCAAGTGAAGAGGGCCATGAAGATGCACAGCATGGAAACATAAACACAGGAATACAGGGCCAGAGAGTGACGAGTGAAATCAGCAGTGTGATTAATGTGACAACCTTTAAGAAAAGGTTATGGATCTGTGGGGAACACTAATGTGTGTAGAACACAGAGGAGATGCAGAGTAAAGGAAAGGGCACCAGTCAAGTCAGCTGAAACATCACAGGACCAGGACCCTGATACTCTGTAAAATACTGTATCCTGAATACTGTGCTCTGTACCACCTCAAAAAAACATGTCCATCAGCGAGCTACCGTCACTGCTAGTATAAAAGTTAGCATACACGAGAGTAATGTATACTGCTCCTTATTCGTTTTTTAAATTGCATTGCAACATGTCAGTAAAACTGAAATGATGACATTCAATGGATTTTCTTCCCTATTAGTAGCATTGTTTAAAATTACAATTCATATTTAATGAGACAGTTGACCTTAAAACAATGTATTTAGGGGTGGGGTCAAGTGTCAATAAAGAAGACTGACAGCTGCTGTTAATTGGGAGCCAAAGCAGACTGCAGTGAACTGACAAGATTTTAAAAGGTTAGGACCGGATTAGTATTTAATATATATTATATTACGTTTGTTTTAATTCCCCTTTTATTTAAAACCTAAATATTTTTCTTACATGTTATTTAAGTCCATCCTGTGACACACACTCATACACAAAAAGGTTATTTCAGAGTAAGTGCTCACAATAGTCTCCTCAAATTACTTTCATTTTTCTGCTACCAACAAGTGGATTTGCAATATTTTTTATATCACTGGTGAAATTGTGGTGATCATGTCCTTAAAACAACACATGAAACAGAAAAGTTGCATCGCTTCTCATAAACAAAATAATAACTGTGTGAGGCAGTGGTTTTCGGAGTAAGGGGCGCACCTTCCCTGGGGCTGCTAAGCAAGAAAACAAGGGATAAAATCTAATCTTAAAAGAGAAGAAATGATTGGATTTGCAGTGAGAGAGGAGAATGAATGATTATTTAAAGCAGGTTCTCCTGGACTAGGGGGTTGATATTTAGTTTGTTGTGGCTGTTTTTCAAAGTGAATAAAACTGAGTTGGCTCCTTGGAGGGAGCTGCAGTATCAGACAATGAAACCCCCTGACTTAAGGGGAAACGTGTATTTTGTTGTACTGTTTATACCAAAAACACAATATTCATTATTTATTAAACTACAAAGACAAGAAAACAAAAGAAATAAATGATTAAAATAGGAACAAGTGCAAGTGGACTAGATCATGTTCACGTCGTATTGACAACATTTTATGTACACATTTAACAGAACCATGAGGTGGGGGGGAGGGTGGGGAGGGGTTCTCTCCTGGCTTATACACACATTAAATTCTGTTCCAGTCAAAGGCAGTGAAGAAACCCCATTAGCATGAGCCATCCTCTTCCATCACGTCAGACTTCACTCATCAGATCAGAGATGTGGGGAAAGATTTATTGATCTGAACCTGCTCATTTGTCTCTGTCATAATCATTATGGAGAGCAGAGGTCACTAAACATTAAATTAGTATCTGTGGATGTAAAACTAACTTCACGTGGATGACATTTAAAGATCTTTACAGGACGACATTGATGTTTTAAGCTGCCATGGTTTTTAACCCAATATAATGAGTAATTTATTATTAAATGGCACAGATCGACTTTTATCTAATCAACAAAACTGCTCTCAATTCCATTTTTTTTCCTAATTTTACCATGAAACAGAACATTAAATCAAGAGTGATGTTAGGATTTTTTTCTCTTCATCTAAACAACACACATCCATCTCAAACACTTACTGCATAGAATTATTTCTCTGCAGCTCAGGTCGTCAATGTCCGACTCCTACACGTAAACCGTGGTTTTGACGTCCTTCCGCTTCCACATCATGTCTCCAGCCTGTAATTACATAAAAGTAGTGGGTAATTTGTGTGCGATTAATAGCTGGTTTACTGTTGTGCTGCTATGAATTGTGGGACATGAGGAAGAATGGTTAGTGTGTGAATAATTACAGTACAAGGACTGACACCACTTGTGGTATCCAGGGAAAAAGAAATACTAAATTATGAAGAATCTTGATTTTTGAATTGCAAAAAGGACGTTACCTACTTTACCATGTGAGCTATTTGGCAATTCAGCTTCCTAATACTCTTACAGATTTTCTTTAGTACAAAATACCTGAAAAAATACAAATCCTAATCAATCACATTTTCAAACTGCTGTACTCCTCTAACATAAAGTGGCAAAATCACTGCAACAATGATACCTGCTAACATTTGTCACACTGTGTTTGTTGCCCATTAGCACATTTCACAGGCTCACACTGTGTACTAAACAAAGATGGGGAACCTGATAAACATTACATCAGGTATTCATTCACATTGGTATTTAGTATTCAGCTCTGAACCGCACTGATCCTCACGGAGCTGATATAGATTTCTGCCCTTCTCCATGTCCATACTTTTTTTCGTGAATACAAGGAAATCACACCACAAAGGCAGTTACTTGCAAACAAATAAATGTGATATCTGTGATTCATGTCCTGGCGTTTAATTTTAATTTAAAATAGAAAAAGTCCAAAACGAGACCAGACCAGAACATAGTAACTTACTACTTTACCAAACAACTACTGTATTTGTTACCCAGTTAAATTTTTAGTAAGAAAGCTGTGAATTTGTATGTCACTGAATTTCACTTAAGAATCCCTGGAGCAGCTGACTTTTTTTGTCATTAACCCCATCATGTTCTTTTATTTCCACATTATTGAATCTTTTCTCAGCGGAGACGCTCCGGCCGCGGCATGAAGGAAAACCAAACCTGACATCTAATCTTTACATTTTGCAGCAGTTTTACAGTAACACTTTTTCTACCACAGTGTGAATGTCTCACAGTGGGTCCGACATGGAGTGTGAAAAACTGCAGGGGTGGTTTTGTTGATTACACACATCAGAGGCAAGACGAGCCCCACGGCGTTGACCCCTCCCTTTTTAACAGCCATCTGTATCACTCAGAGAAAGCCTCCACGACTCATCACTACAGACTGGTTGATCCTGATGCATTTCGACACTGATGGTGCACACCAGTGACCTTTGGGCTGTCGAGTGCACTCAAAACCACACTCGCTGCATGTGTTTGTGTCCCAGAGACAGGCTAATGAGGATGTATCTGCAGCCAGCCAACTCCAGGAGCAAGTGCCAGGATACAGCTGCTGTCACCAGGGCTCTAATCACACAGGTTCTTGTTGGATAACAGTGTCAATGGTGACCTTGTTGGCAGAGGTGTTACAACAAATCTTCTCCCGATAAACTCGCCGTGTATTTTTGGCCATCTCTCCTGGATGGTTTTACTATTTTGAGAACATTTGTGAGCACACTCATTTTGTCTCCCATGTTTAACCGAGATTATTGATTATTGAAATGAATCAGATCAACAATTCTTAATGTATTTTATACAGTATATGCACACATATATAATATATATATATGTACACAAATATACATGTTGAAAATGCCTTATTTCGTATATACAACAATGGGTTTCTACCTGCTGTCAACCTATTGTTCCAGTGATATACAGGCAATTCTGTACTGTCCTGGTTTGTTCTTATAAATTCATATTACATACTGTTTGTATTAGAAATAAGATGCAGAAATTGATCTTTTAAATTGCCTTATGATTGTATATTTAATCTACTACCAATGTTACCAGTTCTGCTCCAACTGAAATGTGTTGAATGAACAAATTAAAAGTGCAGCAGCTTTTAAAAGCCCCCTAAAATATATCTCCTATTTTGCAACACGACGGTGATTTATTCGGCTCACTTCCCTTTGCTTTTCTCACTATGTAATTATTACTAAAAGGACTTAATATCCATTTACCCTCCACGTTGGCAGGTAGAACATCAGCAGAATGAAAACAGTTCTAACCTAATTTTGTCAAATCAACGCTCTGATGCAATGGATCATTTTTCAAGGGCAATATAAAGAAAGAAAAAATCCATAACAATCTCATTACTGAGACATTTAGTTTTCTGGTTAGATTTTGACCTAGACAAAAGTCACCATCTGTCAGCGGATCGTCCCTGTGCCTCAGTGACGATGACGATGATGACAGTGACGATGATGCACTCACAGCTCTCTAACTGTGTTTGTTTTGGCTGCAGGAACTTCTACTACATCACCATGCTGCGTGACCCGGTCTCCCGCTATTTGAGCGAGTGGAAGCATGTGCAGCGTGGTGCCACGTGGAAGACCGCCCTCCATATGTGTGATGGACGCTCGCCCACACAGGACGAGCTGCCCAACTGCTACAGTGGAGATGACTGGTCTGGCGTCACGCTAACCGAGTTCATGAACTGCCCGTCCAACCTGGCCAACAACAGGCAGGTCCGTATGCTGGCCGACCTGAGCCTGGTGGGCTGCTACAACATGTCCTCCATGAACGAAAGCCAGCGAAACAACATCCTTTTGAGCAGCGCTATGAGCAACTTGAAAAACATGGCTTTCTACGGCCTGACCGAGTTCCAACGCAAAACTCAATATCTGTTTGAGCGGACGTTCAGTCTGCGCTTCATCTCCGCCTTCACGCAGATCAACAGCACCCGGGCGGCCAACGTGGAACTGAGCGAAGGCCTTCGCAGACGCATCGAGGAACTCAACTACCTGGACGTGCAGCTGTATGAGTACGCAAAGGACTTGTTCCTGCAGCGTTTCCAATTCACCCGGCAGAGGGAGCACCAGGAGTTGCGCTTAAAGAGGCGCGAAGAGAGGCGTTGGCTGAGAGAGCAGAGGGAGCAGAGCAGGCCGTGGCCGACCAAACACAGAGGGGGTGGGAACAGAGGTGGGGGGCTTGGTAAAGGGACTGATGGTGACTTTCCCACTTCGACCGAGGACTATACCAGTCAAGTAGCTAGATGGTGAATCTTTGGACTAATGAGGACAAAAATATGAGTGAGAAGAGAGAGAGAGCGTGACAGAGATTCCTCAAAGACTATTTAGAACATTAGCTATGATGCTAATCGTGACTATACTCTATTGCCTCTACCTTTGTTTGTGTCACCATTATTCTAGTGACTGCTTTTATTTGTTGCTTAGCTTCAGTGGTTTTTGGGGGCAAATTTAATATAATTGCATTTGATAAGTGACTGGTTCATTTCTCCAACCTCAAGGTTCATTGGTTTTTCTAAGAAAGAAAGAAAGAAAGAAAACATTGTAGACAATAAAATCAAATGCAAAAGAACTGCAATGCAGACAAAATGCAGACATGCTTTCTTTGAGAAGATGAATAGAGCTAGAAGGTAGCAGCTGCCGCTAATATGAGAGGGAAATAAACCAAACACAGCACCAACACCAACACCAACAGCAGGTTTGACACGACCAGACTTCCACTCAGATGATTTTCCCATTAATGTTGTTGTCTGACAACTCAAACAAAATGACTTGCTCACGACGTCAGTCTGTTAGTGGAGCTGCAGCCACTGATTCAAAAGGAACAACGGAAAATTCTGCTTTGCTCCAGTGTCTCTCAGCTTCAGCGTTAAAAGTAGTTCTGCTCTTACAGTGCTTTAGGAAAACAGCAGCTCTGCCTCGGCCGGGCCTTCACCTGTCCTCAATCACTAAATGCTATTGATGTACATTTTTCTCAATCTTTAATTTATGTATTTATTTATTTATTTGTTCTTTTTTGGTGGTTAATGTTTTTCTTTTAATTAGGATTTAAAAATAAGCTACTATAGACCTAGACATAGCAACTCATCAACTTTGTTCCACCTGAGGGCTGCATGTCACAGCTCCACAATCTACAACAACAGTGTCATTATTTTCACCTCCTATACAATACTGTGAACCAAAGTGAATCAAACATGATATGCAGTTGATTTCAGTCAATGGCAGTCTTATGCATGCAATACACTTTTTTTCCATATTTTAAAATATTGATGCTGATCTTTCAGTTGATGTGCAATAAACTGTTTTTTTTTCCAAGAGCATTCTTGCAGATTGAATATTTTGCACTCTCTAAACAAAATTTAAAAAAAAATCTTGTTGGCAATCTAAAATTATGATCATTTTTATTAGAAATCAGATTTTTTTTATAATCATAACGTGAACCAAGTCTGCAATCAGATCTTTTATTTTTTGTTAAATTGATTGCAGTTGGTAAACAGTACGAATTAGAATAAAAAGTCTAACTTTGTGGCTGCTGCGTGGTTTGCCTGTAGATGAGATTATCAGCATTCACTTCTCAGGCCCACTCTCTGTCACGCTGTCTGCTTTTACCCATGTAAAAACAGCTGACAGCATCATTGTGGGCAGCGTGATGGCTCTACCCCCAGTCACGTGCCAGACCACAAAGACCAGCCTGAGAGCAGGTGGACGAGTCTGTCTTTTCTTCTGCCTGATCTCCAGTTTGCAGTGGCTCAAATCCAATCAGCGGAGCAACAAATGAGGATGAAAGAGGGCTTTGCTTTTATCTGGCTTTAACAGGCATTGCTGATGCGTTTTATGTCCCTTATCTCACATCCTCTGAAAATCCTGTTGCTTATCAAATTGAATGTTCCCTAAAATGTTAACACCGAGGGCATATGGTGGCTGCCGCTCTAGCAGTAATTTGTAATGTGTCTTTAGGTTGAAGATCTTTATCAAATACCTCAGATTTTAGTTTTTATGGTTCAGTCAAAGATGCAGTAAATAAGTAGAAAAAAAGGGAGGTTTGACTGGTTGGTTTGATTGTGCTAAAATTACTGTGTGAATTCTGTGAGGGTGCAGATAAGTGGTTTGGGGCAAATATCCCACATTATTAACACCACATTAGGTGTTTCGCATGTAGCTACCAGACACAACATCTCAGTTTATTTTTTCAATAGTCTGTTTATAAATTAGATCTAATCAGATGCAGTGAAACAGCATCTCACAAACTCTGATTGTATCTCTCCTGCCTGGGTTGGGATATTACTTTTGCCATTTTCACCTGAAGGCATCGCAAGTAAATCCGGCAATTAAATTCAAATGTTGTATCAGTTTTATTGGTCTGTTTGGCAGCAGCTATTAATTACATCGCATAGGAGGTTCCTGCAATACTGGAGGCCACAGTTTTAGCACCACAATTCAATGATCCTCATTTAAGACAGCAACAATTGCAATGATTTACTTAAAGGTCCAACCAAGAAATCTCAAAGTCAAACTCTCTGGGACACAGATTCTGTGTCCAAAGAGAACCATGCAACTGCAGCTAAAAAACTCAGAATTTTTAAATAAAGCAAAGTGTTTTGACAATAACAATTTAAACAGTTACTCTTATCTTTTCATGCCTAAATGCCAGAAACATTTAAAAATAGTTTCTGGTGTTTAGACAGGTGGCAAGGTGTGAAGTTTTTCATCTTCATCAGACATACACAGAGTTTAGCTGTGGCTGCTTTTTCCTTGGACAGTAACAGCATTACTGGCTTTACTTTGCTTCTGAACATTTACATACGTTGGCCAGTAAGAGTATCAACTCAAGCATCACTCAGTGTGTGACTATGGGCTGTGGGTCTGACATTTGACCCTTAAGACAAAACCTTTAACGCAAAACACACTATTTCTCTCATCTACTCAGTAACAAATCAAATTCTTTTTCAGTTCAAAACTTTGCCATTGTAGTGCAAAATTAAGATCAATATTTTAATTCATACATTTTTAAAAATTACAAAAATGTATCTTTTAATTTGCACCCCTGAAACTGCAGCTGCATTCCTGATATTTGAAGCCTGCTGTTCTGCAGGGACTCTAACTCCGAACCTTACTTATAAAACAATTAAACATTGATTATACATCATTAGCTGAATGTCTGATAAAATTAGGTTGAAATCTGAATAAAATATCAAAATACTCTGCAGACTTGAATATTTTACCCGTCATACAATAGTCCATGGTCAGCGTGATTAAGACCCAGAGGAGATTTACACACATTACCTCAAATAAAACACACCCATTACTGTTTGGACTGGATTAAATCACATGTAATAGAGTCATATAATAGGCAAACAAAAATATGACTGCAACTTATTTTTGAAAAAAGTCTTCGAAAAATACCTCGACCCGCTGCACGTGTGTTAGTGACTGCCATGATTACAGCACAGGGACAGATGGCACTAAATCTGCATCAGCAGAACAAGTGTCATTGCTATTAATGAACTTGATAAGAAGACGCTTTTTATAGTGGCGGTAGTGAATTGTAAGTGTGTGTGTGTGTGTGTACAATCATTCTATTATAACTCAAATTGAATTCACTGTTTCGCTTTATTCAGGATATTACAGCCAAAGTACAGTGTGCAAAATAAGTGTTTACTTTTAGAGAACTACTTCATTCATCTCCCAAGACATATGTTTTGCAGGTTCAGGATCTGTGTGCTACATGTACTGTATCTCCTCCTCAAATAAGAAATGCAGCTACATTTCAAAGAAGTTGGTACACTTTCCAAAAACGTGTTATTATGAAACCTACAGTAGTTAAGGTCAGTAAGTCAGGCCAAGAGACAGGGAACTTCAGATAAACCCAAATACTGTATATAAACCCTGTTGGGTTTTGATTGCTGTGGGTCTAGACTGCAGGCAGCCCAGCAAAACACATATATTGTATAGCACATATATTGTAAGATATTTCCACAGTCCCAGCAATGTTGTGTTAATAAAAAAAAAAAATCTGTCTTTACAGTCTCCCTGATGAGGATTCCAATACAAGGCTTTAAACCAATGTTACCTTAAAATACAGTATATGCAGTTTTGTAAAAATGTTATTTGAATGAACACACTAAAAAAGATTATAAAATGTATTTCTTCTTTTTTTATTTAAGAATATTTTGCTACCCTGGAGCTGCTTTGGTCAAGTCTATCCATCAAACTTATTGTCAAACTCTAAGATAAATGTTTATATGATGTGATTAAATAGACCACAGGGCTTATGGTACCACGACTGGTTTCAGCTCTCCACACACTAGTTATTATGACAAAGGAGTCGTTTGAAAAAAAAAATCAAAAGAGTCCAGCATTGATAATCGATAAAATCCAAATAACAACGTTATTTATTTGTTTTTCCCGTGTGGCTTAGAACCAAGCGACCCACAGCCCAGTACCGGTCCTCATGGTTGAGCATCTCTGCAGTAAAGCCAACAGAGATTTTTTTTTCTCCCCTCTCACTGCCATTCCCTGAAACCTGTGTTTGAATACAACTTTGTAAAGAGGAGCTTTTCTAATCCACTTAATAAACTGCCGCTACACCAAGCTGTTATTCTATAATCTAAGGCTAATGTATCTGTGTTTATTTTCTGTTGTTTGTTCATACGTTTTGCTGCTGTTACAATATCACACGACAGTTTGAACACCCCAGCGACAACAGAAGAAAGCTCTCTCTCTCTCTCTCTCTCTCTCCCTCTTCCTCTTCCTCTCCCTCTCTCTTTGTGTGAGAATTTCTATGTATATGTTATTGTATGTTGTAATGAAATAAAGCGGCAGAAGCCTCTTTAAAGGCTTTTAAATGTTTAATTTTTTTCCCTCCTGTTTGACCTTAAAGAAATAAAATGCCTACGCCTAAAATATCAGAAATAAAAGCATTGGTCTTGACATATTGCCGTGTGGTGCTTGTTTTCTCATCTACTGACATTTACAGCTGACAGATCATTATGCGTGAATCTAACAGACAGTCAGTAACAACGATGGTAACTGTATTTTTTAGATACCTATAAGCTTCCTTTTAGACACCCTTGGGGACGATATTCTTAACCCGGCTCGAATTTTACAGGTGATTATTTACAAAACTGAAACATTTAACTAGACTAGACTAGGCCTATGTCTGCCCTTCTGTTTATAAATACATTGATACATGAATATATATATATATATATATATATATATATATACGCATAGATACTGTATATACAGTTATTGATATTATTGGTCTTTCATGATACAAAAATATTCTGTATTTGTAAAATGTAAATAGTTTGACGTAAAACTTCAACAGAAGACACCGGGTGTACAGTACCTTTATTATTCTGAGACCCACATCTTTTGCATTAGATGCAAATAGTGTGTTAAAATATTTTAGAGAATACTGACATCTTGTGGAATTATGACAAAATTGCAATTAAAAACACTAACTTCGATTTGACTGCGACGATGAATGTCCTACCTTGAAAACTGCACTTGTTTTGCAGGGTCCTGTGTTATTAGATCAAATCTCAAGGCGAAAACTGGAAACGGTTGAAAAAACAAAACAAAAACAGATGTAATGTAAGTGAGATGGACGGACTGTCATGCAGGTCCAGGGTCCTAAAGGTAGAAACTAAAACATGAAACGGATGATTGAGCTCCGCCGATAACACAGAATCACCAGGTGATGGTAGCTCATAGCTGATGTTAATGACTGGTGATTACGGATAATTACCAGGTGTTTCTCTACATGCAGCCATGGTGACCATGTTTAGCAATATGTTTTGTTTTGTTTTGTTTTGTTTCTTTCTCTTTTTTTAACATTTCTGACTGATGATTGTCGAACCTGGCTTCAACCAAGGATTTAAGGTAAGACAAAGCGTTTGTTACTTTCTTATTGTGTCATCTCGTTTCTCCCTTCTTTAGCCTCTAACGCTCTTTTATTAACGTCAGAGAAATGATTGGTTTGTCGAGAGAAACGTAGAATTTCAAACGCCTATTTCAAATATAGACGTTAATGTTGACATCATAGCTTTATTTTTACGGTGTGAATTGCAATGTATGATAATATACATTTGTCAGACAGGTTTTCTTGTTCGTTGCTTTACGTAATAGCTACAAATCAAACAATTTTTCTTGTTCTGTGGGTTTGAAGACAGAAGCCATTCTTGTCAAAATACATTTTGTAAGAAACTACATGACGTCTTCAACAAATGTTCCTAGTTTTTTGGCTGTATTTATATGTAGCATAAGCTGTGTTCAAGGTGGACAAGGGGACATTAAGAACAAAATTGTTTTCTTTTTCATCACAAACCCCTCGGTTTGTGTTGCTCGGAAGATAAAGCTACCAGTTAAAGTGAAGTTAAAAAAATCTGAATTTTGAAAACATTTAAAAATAACTAAACAATAAAAGTCACTAATAACATAACAATAACATAATAGAAAGTTTTATTAATTAATAAACAGACAAACAAATAATCTAATCAAATCTGTTATTACACGATTGACCAGAGGGGGGCAGAAAAGCCACATCTCAGCTTCACATGCCGTACGTGTGACAGTTGTCGAGAACCAGTGAATATTTGACACTTTACAGAGTCAGGACAGCTCTCTGCCCTGCTCTCTCAGTTAATTATGGGAGTGCTTGGTCTAAGTGCTTTCGCGCAGTAATGACATTTTTCCACGTACATCACTAATGCATTAAAACTTAATATCCAGGCTCCGTCTTAGTGTGGGGAAGTTCTAATCGTAGTGAACAAGTGAGCTTCCCATAAATGTCTATCTGATGGGCTTTGGCAGGATTGGCAGGATGACTCCAGGGTGAAGGATTTTTTTCTTTCACCATAATTTCCCATAAAGGGGGGAAGGAAAAAAATACTTGAAATGACTCACGAGCTCCGGTGTCAGTGAATATTGACTTTATGTGGAAGTGACACTGAAGTGTGCTGAGGTGGAAACTGTAACCATCAGCTTCATTATTTAACAGGGGCCACACTGAAGGGCCAGAGCAGTTGGAGCACAACAAATAGGATATAACAGCAGACAGGAAACCACAGACAATCACACTGCCCTTGACTGAAGGACTGTGTTTATGTGTGTGTGTGTGCGTGTGTATGTGTTCCTTCTTCTAATCTATCATCGTCAGAAGAGACAGACTATATCCCACCACACTGTATGTAATGTGGTGTTGAAATTAATTATTACTAAGATGCAGCATCATTGGATTATGGCTGAAAGATGCAGAAGCAGCACATGATCAACAATCACTGTTTTTTGTGAGAACAATATTATGTGAATTAATAAGTAAGAAAGTGGACTTGGCTTTTATGTTTTAATATAATTGTATGATGTATAAGCTGTTTATTTAAAATTAGGGTCTGTTTCACTATCACTAAAAAAAACCCTTCACATTAAACCATTATCCAGTACCAGAACACTGGACTTCATTTGATTGTCATTGCATTTCCTGCACCATACAAAGGAGGAAATGCATATCTTTAAATAATTAAATATATGATATAGAATAAACATTATGAAATGAAAAGGGTCAATTATTAATTTGAAGGACAACGTTTGGTTTGATTCTAGTTTCTCTCTCTGCTCTGCCTCATAATCTTTACTGGGATTAGATTTTTTATTTTTTTTGGTTGCAAAACACATTTCCCTGTTTAACATTGTAAGTTCGAACAGTGTCGTTGTGTCTGTGGTTCAACATGACCTGCGGCTTAAATCATCTGAGTCACTCTAATATAGGCCATCTGTGTTTAATGATGTCAACTTCATATGAGCAGTAAGACTCCCCCTTACTGGCCTTTGTCAGTTTGTCACATTTCATACTGCTGCCGTGCAGAGGACTGTTTTCTTTGCTATGTTTGGGACCACTGTACTAGACCTTCTAAGAAAATGTAACCCTTTATGAAATAGTATTAATATTTCTGTATGGCGGCAACAATTCAGATTCTTGGTTCATCGTTTATAGTCATGTCATTGTGCCAAACTTTTATTAAAACTTTGTGGGAAGCATTATTCTTCATCACACTTCTACACCAATACACACACACAAACACATCCTGCCCCCACCCTCCCAATTTCAATAAAAAAAACCCTAAATTGTTTCATAGATGAGCCATGATACTGGCTCGTTTGTGAGGTTTCTTGTCAGTTTCACCACTTCGTTACAGCAATAACATTTCTTTCTCTGTGTTGCACAAAGTGAAACCAGTCACTTTCTGGAGAAGACGCACAGCTAGTGTCAGTGACGAAGGATTATCGTCACTGGACTTTTGCCTGCGGTTGTGTCACCCGGCTGGACTCCAGTGTCAGTAACAGTCATGCTGTTGCAGCCCATAACCACTCGACTCCACTGTTATCTAACTGACCTAGGTTTAAGTCAGTGGGTCAAGGCCGCTGCTCTTGCGACCCTTTGCCTAGAAAGTCAGTCCTGCGTCAGCACTCCACGTGGTTCCACTTTGATCTATTACCACTGCCGTTTATCTGCTGGAGATCAATAGGTTTGAAAATAGCACCGTGAAGTGTTTAATGATGAAGAATGTTCACTGTTCACTCTGATCTCTCTCTCCTGCACAGAGGGATGACTGTTGGAAACCAAAATCACCTTAGATAAAGTTACATTAAAGGACTTAAACAAATTAAAAGAAGTACTGCTTATGCCAGGGGTGTCCAAAACTTTCAGCAGGGTGACCTTAAAACGATGACCTTAAAAACACTATTGGGCCAACAGCTCCAACCACGATGCTTAAGCTAGTTTTAGGTGTTTAATATAATATATAAAGCAATAATATGTTATATAATATATAAGTCACAGACATCTTGGTTTTTATTGCAAAATGAATCAAAATACCTGAATCGAAATACCTGAAAAGTTGGCAACAATGTAAAAGATAAAAATAGAGCAAATATAGGTTATTAGTATTTCATGTATAATGTGTAAATTTTAACCTATATTAAAAATGTAACAAACATTTAAAACGAAAGAAAAGTTACATGCAGGATTAAAAATGTATTACCTAAGAAGTTGTCAAAAAAGTTGTTAAAAAACAAAATGGAGCATTTTTTTGAAAACACTCCCGATGTGTCTTGTTTCTATCTACACATCTTATTTTCCTGGTGTTTGTAGGAAAATCTCATGGTTTACAATTTTGACCTGTGGCGCTGTATAAAGAACAACCACAAGTGTTTAACATTAGCATGTTTGTGGTCACAGTTAGGGGAGTAGCGACAACAGGGATTATATAAACCAAGACTTTTTTGTAGAGTAAAAAAGAAATTTAGCAGGTATTCAAAAATAATAGAGGTAAAATTATGCAGATTATTTTTTACAGATAACTGCAAAAAAAAGGTGCACAGGTCTACACAACAGCAGAGCTCCGCACATACAGACAGTTTAGCCATACAGAGAGTGGTTGATGTAATGTGTGTGCGTCAAAGTGCATATGAAAGTTGTTCTTCCTGAGTCAAAGTAAACAATAAAAACCAATGTTGTATAAAAGACATCCATTCTCAGTTCTGATAACAACAGTGGCTTCATGGCACCAACCCCAGCAGGTGATGATAATTATTTTGACACAATGTGTCAAAAGTACACTATTTAGAATAAAAAAAAATAAAAGCTTCTTTTATTTATTGTGTTCTTGCCGCTCCAGGTGAGAGACAGATCAAGTCTGAATTTCATCTTCGAGCCTCTTATATTTTTGATGCTGCAGTTTGCAGATGGGGATCATGTGGTTTATTCCTGACAGGAAATGCCTCTTGTGTGCACAGGAACACAACACAATGGAAAACACTGAAGAATCACTGGGTTGTTTTCTTTTTCTTATTTTTCTTATTATCGAGGGCTATGAGTGAGGGAGCAGGGGACAGCAGAGAGGAAGTGAACAAGTCCTGGTTTTAGTTTTCTCATTTTGCGTCATTCCTTCGTCAAAACGTGTACATCACAAGTGTGGCATGTCGTGAAATAAAAGAAACCCCTGCCATCTTTCATCCCCTGTCTGCTCTGTGTCTTCTCCAGTATTTATCATACCGTTCCCCCGGACTTACACAGATGAAAGAAATGTTATTCTAAAAGCGGGGGACATTGTTTGAACACACGCTGACAGACATGTAGAGAGGGAGAGAGTGAGGGGGGAGTGCGTGTGTGTGTGACTGACTTATGAGTTAGGAAGAAAAGTAATGTCAAACAAACAGAGAGCAGAGCAACTGTTTGCTCTGATTCGTCTTGTGCGTCACACTCAGGCCCCTCAGGAGGAACACAGCAGTTTGAAACTAACCTTTGCCCTTTATTGGCAGGGGGCGGGGTGGATACGGTTTTCAGTGGCGTTGGCCTCGAAAATGTGTTTATTGTTTCCCATATTTTCAAACTGCGTCCCTCTGGAGCGAGTGCCGAATACTCACGTCTCTGTTTTTGGTCTGATGTCAACCAAGGGTTTAAAAACTCCGGACCAAAGAATACACTGTTGGTTTTTGTTAGCTTCCTGAAGTACTTCTTTATAACAACAAGACTTTGCATAATGTGTTTGTTTGTTTTGTTTTTTTTTTCAAACGGACTGAATTTTAGTGATAAAATCATTCTGTTATAAATGACACCTGGCCACATGGTGGAAAAGTGGTTACTGCTCCTGCCCTAGAGCAAAAAGGTCACAGGTTCAAACCCAGGAACTGACGACCTTTCTGTATGGAGTTTTAATGTTGACTCATTTTACCATGAACTTTTTCTTCAGCAGTTTTCCAATTTGCCTGATAGGCAACTTGGATTTAGACAGAATTAAGATGAACTGCTCTACCTATTGCTTTA